ATGCTAATGCGAAATTTAGATGCTCCTTGGTTATGTAACGGAACAAGGCTGCGTGTGACACATCTTGGACGGAACATAATCGGTACTACAAATTTGACAGGGGTAGGAAAAGGTGAAAATGTTCCCCCAGATCTTCCTTTTCAATTCAAAAGGTTGCAGTTCCATATTTAGCTCAGTTTTGCAATGACAATTAATAAAGCGCAAGGGCAAACGTTACAGGTAGCGGGGGTCAACTTAGAAAAACCGTGCTTCTCTCATGGTCAGCTGTATGTAGCATGTTCGCGTGTGTCAAATTCCCAGAATCTCCACATTTTTTCCCCGAATGGAAAAACATACAACATTGTGTACAGTAGCGTCCTAAAATAGTGTTCAGTTAGTTTTTTTTTTTCAAAAATTCCCACAATCATTTAATCAGAATTCCCACAGATCTTCCCTTTTAATTCAAAATTTCCTATTTAGCTCAGTTTCTCTTCAATTCCAAATGCTGCACCTCTGACGGACCTATTAAGCTCAGTTTCCTTTCAACTTAAAAGGCAGCATCTCTGACGGATCTTTTATTTGGCTCAGTTTCCTTTCAATTCAGAAAACGGCATCTCTGACGAATCAATTTTGCTCAGTTTCTTTTTCAAAAGTCTGCATCCCTGACGGATAATTATGCTCAGTTTCCTCTAATTAAAAAAATATCCCATTTCCATTTGGAATAAACAGGCTATTTTCATGCTTTTCTATACGCTGCGTTTCAAAACATATAAAAAGGCTGACGAATCAATTTTGCTCAGTTTCTTTTAAATGGCTGCATCTCTGACAAATCTATAAAACTCAGTTTTCTTTCAATTCAAAAAGCAATGGATAGTTCATTTCCCAGTGACCAAGCGGGCGAAGCTGCGGATTGCAGCTAGTTAGTATATATATATTATTTATTATTTCAATATAGATATATTAATGGTATTCAAGTCTGTACGTGTGTTTGTATGTGTGGTGCGTGAATCTAATCCCTAGATGGTTTATTCTCAATAAGACCCAGTAGTTGGTGCTTTTATAAATATCCAGAAATCATCCGTGTGAAGCGTGTCGCTAGTTTTGTATAGTTTTCTTAAAAACAAAAGTTCAAAACTGCTTATTTTTTTTCCATCTACCAGTACAGTATGAGGCCAGGCAGCATGAAGCAGCAGTAAGGAAAAACAGTACAAAAATTAGGGTCGAGTACAAAACAACAACTAAAACAACAAACTGCAGCAGATGAGAGTAGTGAAGGCCAGCTTCCCTATTCTCATCTGCTGCAATTCTCGACACTCAGCTAGTCACAGTATCTATGGCTTTAGATGGAAAGAAGCTACAATTTGAAAGGTGAAATTAATGTTCCAAGTTAAGCCATGTAGCTACTCTAAAGTGGCCAAGCATCTTGCAGTTTTGATTTGACCTGCCGTGACAAGACGCCTTCTTCATGAACCTAAATGCAGATACGTTGTTCCCCCTGAGGACTAAGATGGAACGTTTCTTTGCTAGTTAAAGGCATCTATAGCTCTCTACACTCACCATATGATGAAAAACAGCATTAGCTGCTATTTCATGCTGATATTCTGTGGGCCGATCGTGCCAACCCATTCGTGTTTTAACTATAATACGGCTGTGGCATAGCTTTATTACGTAAAAAACGCAAGTGCTTGCGAAATTAAAACATATTTATATCTATGTGTGGTAGAGTCACGCTGTAGCTATATTATGGTTGTAGCAAGAATGGGTCGGCTTGACCGGGGAAGGACCACGCTCTCACAGAAACCAGCGTAAAATATCAGCATAATACTGTTGTGTTTTTAGTATGGTTGTAGAGATCCAGAGACCCTTTTTTACTGTGAAACGAGGCATTATATCTTAGTCCTCAGGGGTGACACTGTATCTGCGTTTTGATTCTTAATCGTCGATGAATGTAGATATCTATGGGCCCCAGCATCCACTTACCAGCCGGTGGACTGTTTGCTCATTTGTCACCCTTATTCTATAAAAAAATAAAAGCTGCAGCATGACGTGGCACTCAAAAACACGAAATTGACGTAATTTACGTCTTCGATTTTCTTAATATTTCATATGCAGGTTTCCTCACGATGTTTTCCTTCAAAGCCGAGTAAGTGGTGAATGAGCACTTAGAATTACAATTAAATTATTATAAGTTTAAGTAAAGATGATATCCGTTTTATTTGCCTTTTGGCAGCAAACTATTTCACAGGTAAAATAACTTCTTATCGACTCCGTTAATAAGTTAAAGCTTGTTAGTTAAGTAAGTTAGAGAACATGAAAATTGGCCTTGCATGTTATTATAACGTATCTTGTTATGAATATTGATTTTCACTTACCCTAATTTTAATCCTTAGACAGTTATTATAAAAGCGAGTAATCGTCAAAAAAGACGAGTAGTCTCTGGACTAGCCACGGCGCTCCTATTGGAGGTCGGTTATGGAGCAATAAAACCTGGAGTAGTTCATTCCTTGATTTTCTCCGGGTTTTTTATTGTGACCATCTTCTTATTTAACTCATTAACATTTTAGTAAGTCTTAGTTACATTTTACTCATATCTCATTTCATATTTTTGGTGTAATGACATTCTTATATTTAGTCAATGTAAAGCTCAGACCCAGTTTATCTGCTAATGTAATTGTGGCCCCTGAATGCTGTTTAGATTCTCATTTGAAGGTAATGCTTGTATGATTCATAATTTGTCAGATTTAGTTCTAGATGCCTTTTTTTTGGTTTGTTTTAATATTTTTAATTTAATATCGACCAATTCAGAATAAATTGTCAATTGTCGACTTTAAGATTTGGAAAGATTAAGTTTTAGATCTATTCTGTTTGTAAATTATTTATTAAATGTGCGCGTAATATCATCGTAAAAGAATCCATTACCCTATTTTGTTCTTTGTTTTCGTAAGAGGCGACAATGGGATATGCCACAAAATTCTCATGAGTTCTGTTGGATGTTTTTATTTTATTCAGGACATCAATCAATCACATATTAATGCTTGAGCCAAATTATAATTTATAAATAATATTAGTGATTATGTTACCAGTACTGTTATACACAAAATATTGAAAGATGGCAGTATTACCATTCCATTAATGTCTCATACCTAGATCAGAGACGAGCAGGAGCGGCGAAGTTTTAAGTCTGTTTTTTCTTATACTTATATTACTTAACGACTACCAATTGTGATGGTCACGGCAAATGTCACCCACAACGGAAGAGGCACATCTTCAGGGCTTTTACGAGTTGATGACGATTGTAGCTCCATGCTTAGGCTGGTACACACGGATTATAATTAATTGAAACATAATTTTTGAATTCATTAACCAGTGATATATACACTTAGATCGATACCAATAATTATTACTTAATAAGGTTTTAACTTATACAAACGGTTTACTTAATACACTTCATTAAAAATGAATAATTTTGAGCCTTTAATCTTGACATAATTCGACCTTTTTATAGAAGTGGGGGCAAACGAGCTTGCGCCTCACGTGATGGTCAGTGACTACGGCTGCCCATGAAAAAATGCTACACCAGGGAAATTGCAGGTGCGTTGGCAGACTTTTAAAACGAGTAGGCTCTTTTCTTGAGGGTTCCTAAGTCGTAACCATCCGGTAATGATAAATAATTCCACAATTTCATGCGACTAAAAATATTTCTAGAAAATGACATAATTTGGACCACCGAGCCAGAATTTTGTGGCGATATGCGATGTTTTAACTTGGTAGATTGTTTTATTTCGAATGATTCCTCGAAGAGCTCTCGGTGAGTGTGAAAAACAATGCGAATAGATGCAACATTCCTTCGCAACACCTGTTAATCGAGTCGATAAGAAAGAAGTTGGACATAAACGACTCCAATTCAAGTCAACCCTTTGATAAATGCGTTCAAGTTCAAGAAGAAGATAAAATAATATTCGAAGTCAAACATCTTTTAAAATATTTTAAAATATTCGACGGAGTTTAAAGAGTTCAATACAGTTTTCGTACATCGGCATAGTAGGACATCGGCGTCTGCAGAAATTCACGGCGAGCGTGACAGGAGGCGTTGTGATCTTGTTATTGGCAGTTGTATATGGTAGAATTTGACCCTGCCCACAACACGCGTTACAGCCTGAAAACCAGGTTTATGCAAAGTGGGTAAATTTGAGTGCGAATGCTTAGTGCGGATATCTCGTGGAACTCGTGATTTGGTTTATTCGTCTAGCAAAAGCAAAGTTGGTTGATTAACGTGCACAGCCATTTGGTGGGCTGGCATTTGTCGAATAATTTGTCATAGCGCCATTATGGGTGTAATGGAGTCATGAAAAATTACTCGCTATTCGATGAATCTTTATTTCATTTATTATAGCCTATCAAAAATCCCCTGCTGAATATACATAGGTATTTTCAATTGATTGAATGATAGGGGTGATTTTTACCACAATATTATGTTAAATTCCAATATTAGATGAGTGAATGATATAGGTGATTGGGGAACTCGAAATTCTAACGACACCCATGTAACAACTCAGGGAGGAACGAGTGCCTGAAAACCAGCGCTTCATGGGATCTTATTTATAGTATCTATGTAAGCAAATGCTGAGTTATCTCAGTTTGCCTAAATTTAATTAAATTTAAATACTTAGTTCATATGTAAACATGTTTTTAAATGTGGCAATGAAGTGATATTTAATTATTTATTTATATTTATTTATTTGCTATAGTTTCCAAGCTTGGCAGGCAGGTTAGCTACCATAGTTTTTTTTAATTATTTTAAGTAGTTTTCAGGAAGTTGCTTCTGCCCATATCCAGTTTCGTTACTCTGTGTTGCCTCTTACACGAGGATTTAGATATTTTCTTTGGATTTATTAGAGGATTACGATACACAAGGATAATATAGAAAAGTAGATTCTCTTACAGTTTCATTACCCGACCTAAAATTCTTGCTTAGATCTAATTTAAAATATCTCGGAAAACCTTTTACAGATTCTTTTAAAATGACATTTCAAGAATGGACTGGAAAAATGGCAGCGTACGGAGCAGGGAACCAGACTGTGGTAGACAAGGTGCCACCAGAAATTCTACATTTGGTCGATTCTCATTGGTAAGATTTTTTTTTTGCAATTAAAAATAATTTCAGAAATAATTTCTGTCACAGTGGCCATTCTTATCAGAGACTTGCCATCTTTATAGAACAATATTAGACAAATGCACACTATGTTTAATAACTCTCATAATTCGATGAGTCCGCAATCCGACACGTATGGAAAGAGATTAAGTACCGGTCCAACAGCTTTATTTCGTTCTGAGGTGATACACAACCGACTCCTTGGTTCCAGGCTTATAGTGAGAATTTCTTAGCAAAATACTAAATAATTGATTTTGAGCCGACTCCTGCTTTGAAACTAGGACCGCGTGATCAGCATTACCACTAACAACCACTAGATGATACCTGCCAGCACAAATCAATTTATTAATTGAAATTTTAAGACAAAAATATTTAAAAAGTTGCGGTAGACACTTCTTTACCCTCTCCAAAATGAGCGGGAGCATATGCCTGACATTTATAGGCTGCAACTTTACTTGATAGGGTAAATTGTAGCATCCTGTTAAGTAAGTTGAAATCGGTAGGCGTGCTCGATTAATAATTGGTACAATTCAAAGGGCAATGTAGTGAATTAGGACTAAGATTAAACCTTAACCTTAGCTTGATGAAGCATCTATCGGATGACATGCAGTTGTAAATAAACTTATATACGCAACAGCAGCAAAATGAATCTCTATTTAATAGATATAAGCAGCTACTGACGACTTACGGCATGATGCAGAATATCTGCCGTAATAGTGTTAAGAGCATATAGTAAATCTGTTTGTCTACGCATTGACGGTCACGGTCACGGGGGACTGAGATGACTGACGTCCCGATGTCATTGTGTGATCTATGCAAAATACACAATAATAAAAAATGCCATAAACAATAGTTAAAAAAGCTGAAGGTACTCCGGGTTTAACAATGACATCGGGACGTCAGTCACCTCACTCCCCCGTGACCATGGGTGCTGGAAAGCACCCGAAACGTGGAGAATTAAAAATAACTAAAATTAAACGCGATAAAATCCGTAAAAGTAGTTTTAATCAATGTGTAGTGTTCGCGTAAATATAAGAAATCATTATGTTTGTCTACGTTTAAAACTCAACGGCAATAGTTTGTATTTTGTTGGGAGTTTTCGATATTAAGGACATATCGTATTGAGAATTTGTGACCTATGAGATGACCAGGATCAGGATGTAGAAAGGCGGTACCTTGCCGTTCGTGCTAATACGATTGACAGGAAATTTAATGAATGTGAACGTGATGCTACAATAATATTATTTAAGCTTATGGTCAATAGCTTCATACGCCGTATCTGGTCCAAATTTAAAAAGGCTAAATATAGAATTTTTCAAAAAAAGTCGACATATAAATTCATTTAGAATATTGTTGTGCTGTGTGTATTGTTGTGATGTGCTGAGGCACGCGTGTCGCTCGATGATTTGATAATCCAACGTGTGACCAGATTAATAATAGAAATAATCTGCTTAATTCTGGAAACGCGATTATACAAATTTTAACGCAACATAACATTTTAAACTATATTAATATTTATTTATATTTTATTATAGCATTTAGCATTTTTATATTATAATTATAATTATTATCTATAATAATAAAAACAACATTTCGATTTCTATTTTTAAATTTTTACCTTAAAGGTTTTTTGTTTATGATATTCAATAAAATTACTATTATTAGAGTAAATATTTTTATTGATGAATAATATCATTAAGCTTTATTTTCACCGCGCGTAGCAGTATAATAATAACTTTTAATATATTTGTTACAATTTATATTGTTTAATAATTATGATAACCTCCTACCTAAGTACTGATCTCAATGACCTCAATAGTGCCTCCCAACGAACAGGTTTAGGATTAACACAGACACAACAAATATAATGTCTAACATCCATGTCACACCTATGCCCGTAGTTATTGGGAGCACTAAGATTAAAGTTGCTTACCTGGGACAATAAGTCTGACAAGGTACTCGTAAGTCCAACTTCAACTGGGAGGTCAATCGGCGGATTCAACTCGGCTGGGCAGCGTTCTGGAGATTAAGACACATCTCGTCGGGTATGCCTCGAAACCTGAAAACAAGATTGTACAAACATTGCGTGTTGTCAGTGATAACTTATAGATCTGATTCGTGTTTCTTAACTACTGGCTGTATGAAGAATCTTAAGGTCGCTGAGCGAGCAATGGAGAGGGCTATGCTCGGGGTTTTTCGCAAGATCTAAAAATGAAGGATATCTTCATTTTTTTTTTGCAATTAGACCAGAGTAACTGACATAAACCAACCGATTATTAAATTGAAGTGGCAATGAGCCGCCCACATAGATCTAATAACGGATGAGAAAGAAAGGTTCTGGAGTAGCAGCCTTGTACCGGTAGGCGAGGTGTGGTAAGCCACGCGGGAAATCTATGGGTGGAGATGACTCAGGACCGTGCTTTATGGCATTCCTTAGGGGGGCCTTTGCTTAGCAGTGGTGTTGTAAAAGGCATGTAATGTGTGGAATAATTATTATAATTAATGTAATAGTTAAATTAGTATTACTTTTTGATTTTTTTTAATTTGTTTAACTTTAATTTTATTACGGGCTTTTGTGATGTGTAGTTAAGTTAAGTAATATTGTAATGAAGTTTAATTATGTTACTTAATTTTTTTGATAATAATAAGATTATTAAGCTTTACATCCATCGTGCGTAACAATATTTTTTTCAAAGGTCGTCAACGCACATGCAACTCCCCTGATATTGCGGCTGTTCATGAGCGGCGGTAGTCACTTGCCATCAGGTGAGCTGCATGCTCGTTTGCCCCCTCTTCTTTATAAAAAGAAATAAATCGTGTGACTTCGTTCATACCTTTTATTTATAATGTTTCTTATTTTTTCCTTTTTTACACATTTTTTATAAGTCACTTTCTTGTTTGTTTGTGTGCCGGTTGGATCTGGGTACATCTGGGAACCGTACAACTCAAATTTCGAGCACTTAGCGATGAGCTACAGACATGAAATTGCAATGTAACTCTCGTGGAATATTAAAGCTTGAATACAGTGCCATTATATAGAATCACTATGGGGAGAAATATATTTTGATGATAGAGAGAATACAGCGCAAATTTGCACGAAGGCTGTATAAACAGAAATATGGTTATTTCCCTTATTTATATCCGTCCTTATTTGTTACTGGTATGGTGGGTTTGGACACTCTTAAACTTAAGCGGATTATGCAGTTGACAACGTTCTACAGAGTAATCATCCATAATAGAATAGATAGCCCAATAATATTAAGCAGAGTGGGAATATTGGTTCCGAAGCAGTTGGGCTGTGATGTAGAGGGGACGGTGGCACGGAAGCGCGCACCAAGTGCGGCGCTCACGCACGCACTATTTGCGCTATACGGCTTATTGTAGACATGCTCGCACATGATTACGAGGCTGACTTATTTAATGATAGCTTTAAGCAACTATGTAATAAAGCCCTACTATTTTTGATATCCAATTTTGACATATTGTAATATATTAAATAAACCTTATGTAATCAATTTGACAATGAAATTTTGCTTAATCTATTCGACATGTAATCCGTTTGACATGTAATCTATTTGACATCTTATCTATTTGGCATGTATTTTAGTTTTTTCTTTAATTTTTAATTTTTTTGATCTATTGTACATGTATTCTTTTATTTATTCGATCTTTTTGACGTGTATCTTGTATTATTACTTATTACCTAAAACTGTAATTTGTAAATTAGCATGCTGACGTTTTGGGCATACCTTAAACTTTGTTAAAATATTAATAAATATAAATCTAAAATTAAATGTATTTTAGTAAAAAATTAAAAAAAACACTTGTTTACCATTTAATGACAGTTTTAAATCTGTAGTTGGATGGTTTACGATGAGTTAATCGCATGACATGACCGATTGTATTCAATATACGATTCGTTTAAGTTTTTTTTCTCTTATCTTTCGAATACATATTCGGAAAGGTTTCAAATTGAGTATTTTTGTTGAAGGTATCAATTTCCTCCTATGAATCCACTATGGCACGGTCTATTGGGTTTCACTATCGGTGTCCTCGGTTTCATTTCCCTTGCAGGCAATGGAATGGTTATTTATATTTTTACAACGACCAAGGTGAGTTTATTCATGGATATATTTATGAATACACGTTTTTAACAGTTTATTTGAAATTAGAAAGATCACATCCATCCTTTTAATCCATAAATTAGCTTGTGAAAGTCTTGCTTTTTAACTAGAGAAGATTCAACAAAGGAAAAACATGCAAACTAAAATGTCTAATATGGAATTTGACAGCAAATATTGATTTTGCAAGGACTGTGACTTCGCCTTTGATGGATTTATTTTCAGCTTAAACCTAGCTTGAACGCGAGATTATCAATAAATTATGTTTTGTAATATGACGAAAAGTTATTCTTCAAATTACTAACCATACCATTTTAATTAGACTTTTACAATTTCAGAGCCTAAGAACTCCGTCCAATTTACTCGTGGTAAATCTTGCTTTTTCTGACTTTTTGATGATGTGCTCTATGTCTCCTGCCATGGTTATAAACTGTTATTACGAAACTTGGATACTTGGTAAGAAATAAAATTGTAACAGAACAGATGCAGTAAGTAGTCTAAAATAAAAAAATGGATGAAAATTATCATTAATTAGTGTTACGTTCATAGGTTCTTTAGCATGTGAACTATATGGATGCACGGGGTCATTGTTTGGCTGTGCGTCTATCTGGACTATGACAATGATCGCTTTTGATCGATACAATGTCATCGTTAACGGCATCGCTGCAAAGCCTTTGACAATCAATGGAGCGTTACTGCGTATCTTTGCCATCTGGATCGCTTCTTTGGCTTGGACAGTTGCCCCATTTTTTGGATGGAATAGGTATGGTGTAACAGAAAATTTGTATACATACTTATTGTTATTGAACATTTTTATTTATTAACGATTAATGAATTTGTTTGCAGATATGTTCCTGAAGGAAATATGACTGCGTGTGGAACTGACTATTTAACTAAAGACTGGCTCAGTCGTAGTTATATTCTTGTCTATGCAATATTCGTCTATTTTTCGCCACTGTTTCTAATAATCTATTCCTATTACTTTATTGTAAAGGTACAGTAATTATCAAAATAGAACTTATTTTTATACGTTAAATAACTTAAAAAATAAACAATTACGCCTTTGTAAAGGCAGTTGCTGCTCATGAAAAAACAATGAGGGATCAAGCCAAGAAAATGAATGTAGCTTCACTTAGATCATCAGATGCAGTGAACACCAGCGCTGAATGTAAATTGGCTAAGGTAATTTAAATTGCTTATTTTTTTAACAACGGTTTTAAATACGGTCAGAGTTAAACGTTCTTCTTGTAATAACAGTTTTTGATATCTCAATCAAGTACACTTTATCAAGTTATATTTAGCATTACGTAGGTTAAAAAACAATGTTAGTAGTTTTGGGTATAACTATTACGAAATTGTTATGTGTAGTTTTTACAATACCTATATAATAAAGTATAAAGATGGTTACCTTGAAAGTTATAAATAATATTAAATAATAGTATAACATTTTCAACGTGGAAATAGAGGATACAAGAACACTTTAGTGAAATTAGATATCAGTAAATACTTTGTCTGAGTTATAAAGGCTATATGCTTCCTTTAAACTTTATGGAGCTGCTTTGCAGCAGTATTTAAGCTGCGAAGTATTTTTTATAAACTTAAGATGACAAACGATCTCACATTCTACTTAACGATAAGTAGATAATGTGGTCTATATACTATGCACAGTGGCGAGAACCGTAAATGTTTCTTACTAGGTAGCGAGGCATTTTATTGTAGTTAAGATAGGTAATAATGAATTTGCGTTTTGTTACTTAACCGATGATAGATGAGATTTTTCACTTTATTGTACTTATGGGGTGGCCTAAACTGTATTGTGTCATTTTTATAAGTGGTATTGCCATGCTGCAGTTATATTAGCAGCATAGTTGTAGCACGAATTGATCGGTTCGACCACGGAAGGGAAGGACTACGCTCTCACAGAATACCAGCGTAAAATAGTAGCTTAATGCTGCTGTGTTTCGTATGGTGAGTGTAGAGAACCGGAGACACTTTTTACTGGAAAAGTGGCATTCCATCTTAGTCCTCAAGGCTGACAACGCAACTGCATTTTGATTTGTAATCGAGGATAGATGTAGATGTCTATGGGCCACAGCAACCACTTAACCATAAATGGAATGTGTGCTCGTTTGTCAGCCTATCCTTTAAAAAAATTAATAGACAATAACTGTTAGTTGGTATAGTAGATTTATATAATGTTGAGTTAATATCAGGAAGAAGCAGCTGCCCATCTCCTGGTTTGTTTCCCTCTATCGCCTCTTACGACACCCACGGGACGATATGGGGAAGTTGATTTTATTACATTACCACTACGCGGTCAATATACCACTTTGTGAAAATACAAAGAGCACATGTTAGCGCCACTAAATAAATACATCGATGTAGTTTTTCATGAGTACGATAATTTATCTCGACAAGATACGATCACCTATCTGATCGATGTATCCCGATAAGATAGAAGATTTCGTACGTGGTAGAGCCACGGTGCAGTTATATTATGGTTGTAGCACGAATGTGTTGGCTCGATCGAGAAAGGATCACGCTCTTGCGGAATACCAGCGTAAAATAGCAGGTTAAATTGCTGTTTTTCGTTTGGGGAGTGTAGAGGTGCGGAGACTCATTTCCACTAGAAACAAATTGAAAAATTAGGGTCAAGTACAAAACAAAAACTAAAACAACAAACTGCAGCAGATGAGAGTAGTGAAGACCAGCTTCCCTATTCTCATCTGCTGCAATTCTCGACACTCATAGTCAGCAGTATCTATGGCTTTAGATGGATTGAAGCTACAATTTGAAAGGTGAAATTAATGTTCCAAGTTAAGCCATGTAGCTACTCTAAAGTGGCCAAGCATCTTGCAGTTTTGATTTGACCTGCCGTGACAAGACGCCATCTTCATGAACCTAAATGCAGATAAGTTGTCACCCCTGAGGATGGAACGTTTCATTGCTAGTTAAAGGCATCTATAGCTCTCTACACTCACCATACGATGAAAAACAGCATTAGCTGCTATTTCATGCTGATATTCTATGAGAGCGTGGGCTTTCTCCGATCGTGCCAAGGCATTCGTGTTTTAACTATAATACGGCTGTGGCATAGCTTTATTACGTAAAAAACGCAAGTGCTTGCGAAATTAAAACATATTTATATCTATGTGTGGTAGAGTCACGCTGTAGCTATATTATGGTTGTAGCACGAATGGGTCGGCTCGACCGGAGAAGGACCACGCTCTCACAGAAGCCAGCGTAAAATAGCAGCATAATACTGTTGTGTTTCGTAGTATGGTAGTAGAGATCCAGAGACCCTGTTTTACTGTGAAACGAAGCATTCCATCTTAGTCCTTAGGGGTGACAAGGTTTTGGTTCTTAATCGCAGATAAATGTAGACGTCTATGGGCCACACCATCCACTTACCATCAGGTGGACTGTGTGCTCGCTTGTCACCAATATTTTATAAAAAAAGCCCCATATCTTCTTCATGGTTCGGTTATATCACATTTAATGCAAAATACAAATCTTTAACTTAATTCTTCAACATTTTGTATGAAACTCATAAGTGACATAAATGTACTTTATTATTTTCGTAGCTAAGTAGGTAGATAGTAGTGTGACTGCTGATCATGAGGATCTGGGTTCGAATTCTGGGTCGGGCCAAAAAAAACAATTATTAAGTTTTTCTGTCAAGAAATTCTCAGTAGCCCCCCGGAGTCAGGATGTTGGCGGTCTCTCACCCCCGTGCCTCAGAAAATACGTAAAGCCGTTGGTAGTGCGCCTGATCTCTCTCCAGTCTTGTCGATTTACCGGCCCATCGGATTATGAGAGCGAGGCAATAGAAAGTGCACCTATGCTTTGCGCATACACTTGGGCACTATAATCCTGTCCTTCGCCGATGGCTAGCCTCCGTAGAAGCAGGCCACCGTGACCGAAATTCGGTCTGGAGGATATTATCAGCTAAGTAGATTGTTTTAAATAATACATGTTAAGAGGTATGATTTTATGTTAGAATCTAATTCTTCAAAAAACTTGATACACTTTTGTCGTTATTTTTGTTGTATCCTACATACCTACTAGCCCGTAAGGGTCCATTGCTGGCTACGGGCCTCTCTAAAAATAGTATAGAGAATTTAGCGCATTACCGATAATAGTATTACTTCCCACAGACATACCCTATAGCCACAAAATCTTCTTAAACCATATGCCAAGGCAAAGTCATAAGCAGATCTCCCCGCATGATCGGTTTAACGTGAACAGAGCAATTCAGCCTGATGGGCGTTAAAATCACCAAGGATCACAATCTCTGCGGATGGGATCTGCTGTAGCAAGGAATCTGTAGCCATTTGGGCGTAGTCGATGAATTGGTCTGTTTCGGCATTACCGCTATGGGACCTATAGAAGTACCCGTAGACGTGTGGATGGTCCTCGTTGTCTACGCGTAGCCAAAGTATGGATAGGTCTGAACCCTCAAGACTGCCGGGACGTCAAGAACAGATACACTCTCTGACGTATACGCAAATTCCAGTCCAAGGCACAAAAGAGTGTTCCAATTTGTACCCCGTGCAAGAGAGATACGAAAGTATCAGCCGGAGAGGACATCTGCGTCTAGTTCAGAAGAGCAAGGCTGCCTTCGCCGTCTCCAGGTGGAAGTGGCTGGCATATAGATTCGAGTAAAGCCCCCTGATGTTTTAGTAATTCTCGGATAGCCTGGCCCACTGCCAGGTCGTCTTTGTCTTAAGCGGAATGTGCCCCCCTCCCACGCTAATATCAGTTACTTGCTCTTTACTACGACCCTGGGATAATATCATCATTATCATCATAGGCCATCAAAATTCAACTTCTCATCATAGGCCTACACATAATCACTTAATCGTCTTTTCTTGTACGAGGGTGCCACTCAGGAACCTTTTTTCCCCATCAGGAGTCAACTCTTAGATTTAAATGGCCATTCCAACGCCACTTCAACTTACGAATCCGTTGGGCTATTATGATTACCTTGGTTTTACTTCGGATATTTTCATTATGAAAACTATCTGGAAAAATTTGTTGTCAAAAATATTTAGCAAGAGCATCGTAGTTTTCTTGCTGTGTTTTATATTATTAATATTATTGTAGCGTATTAAAGCCAAGTGCTCAATATAGGCCTCCACATAATGTAGTGTTTTACATGCCTACAAAATATTAACATGTTTTCATATATTAAAATATGGTTTTTCTCAATTATAGGTTGCACTTATGACTATTTCGTTGTGGTTCATGGCGTGGACACCGTACTTGGTGATAAACTTCGTGGGAGTATTTCAGAGTGCTCCGATCAGCCCCCTTGCTACGATTTGGGGCTCATTGTTCGCCAAAGCCAATGCTGTTTACAATCCGATTGTATATGGTATTAGGTGAGTATTACTAAAATGCAGATGTCTTGTGTATTTTATATAAACATTCAATTTTAGGAAGATAAATCTTGTACTAAAATAAAAATTGTACGGTTGGCAAACAATTAGAGTTCAGTCGTTGTCGACACAATTAAACAATTAACAAAATCATAATGGGAAAATTATGTAGGTATAAATACTAAAATTAAGTAAAAAATAGTTATTAAGTAAAAAAGTAACTAACTCACACTCAACTATAATCTAAAAAATATCTATCTCAACAACTAACACTTAATATGGACTAATTAATGTCTGAAATAAAGTTGTTATTATTGTATTTACCAAAAAAATTATTAACTTTGGCAGCGCAATATATTTACGAAAATGTATGTACATATAAACATAAATAGCTTTCATAAGAATAAAGATGTTCAAACTTGAAACACTAGGAACAAACATAAGCTTGTAATACCAGTTAGCAATAACCACATAGCAATGTAGACATTTTACAACGTAATCCCAGATGACGTACAAAATTTGTCATCAAACAAGATTAATGTTTTATTAAAGAAACATTGTACAAAAGGGTTATTATAATATCAAAGAATACATAAATTAAAACAACCCCTGGGAACGACGTGATCGCCAACATGCTGGTTCTATATAATTCATTTGAAAATTGCAAAGTAAATTATTGTAAAGTGAAATATGTTTAAAAAGATCCGCTTGGTTTTTTCCAGTTCTTCCTAGGACAGAGGTTTTTTTTTTTTCAAAATCAGTGGTAAATAAAAAATTACTTTCAACAAGTATTGTTGCAATAATCTATATATAGAATAAAAAAAACATTCATTTCAGTTCACTCGTTTGATTAGTCTGGATAAATCTATAAAAAATGATAAATATATGTAAATATACATACAATATACTAAAGTAAATACATAAAAATACATAAATAAATAAAAACCCAAGCAGATGGATGCCTTTGGTAAGGGATACCATACCGCCGAGCGCTTGGGGGAAAGGGAAAGCAACCAGCGGATGATGCAGGCGATCGGTTCTTCTTATTATTATAAAAGCGAATCCACAGAGCCTGTGTCGTGTAGAACGTCGCGCGGACGAAATGCTGTGTAGCATTGTGCTGCTATTTACAGAGACCAGTCCTTTTTCTTTAGGCTAGTTGGTAGCCACAGTTTTACTTATTATTTTAAGATGTTACCTGTCAGAAATACCCTCCTGCCTGTAATCTGTTTAAATTTCGCCCTGTCGCCTCTAACGACCCCCAGAGTACCCACAAGTATTAGATATTATTACAACACCAATGTTGCCTATGAACAAATTTGAACAAGTCTTACCATGTGTCCATATAGTAACGCGAAATAAGAAAGTGCAACGATATTAGTACGAACTTCAAACTCACACACACATACTGTCTTTTGCACTAATTTAACATTCACACATCTTATTTCATCACTACTATCATCGTTACAGCCATTCACAAGTCCACAGCTGAACTTAAATCTCATTTACCACGTCTTATTTGCATTAACTAAAGACTAAAGTCTATCCCGTTTGCATCCGCTTTGACCTGTTTGTCTGTGTGATAAAATATTATTTATATTGATCATTAGAAAAAGTGTATCCGTTCTGCCCATTACTGCGTATAGTCCACTGCTGAACATAGCCTCTCCCATAGATTGTCTCATGGAGGGATTTTTCCATATATGTCAAATGGAAATAATTAACAACTCTGAACGATGTAACAACGAAAAGTATCTTCACAGTCGTTACGTCATAAATGTGACAGCTATTTCGTTATTTTTGTGGTGCGTTAAAAATTATGCCTTTGGATTTATTTAATTTTAATTTTCAAAGTGTGGTAAATTTGCCTAGAAATATACAAACCGTATCGTTTTCTTTTGTTTTCTATTTACGCTAATACTACACATTTAATGAAACTAATTTTATGGATTTCATCTCGCTTAATTTAAACGTTTATCACTTACAGCTTCACACGGTTATTGGGACTTTACAAATGCGTCCCAATGTCACAGTTAACAGAGATGACCTACATTTTTGCTTTTAAATATTAATCTTTTGTCTGATCTACACACAAGAGCTCACAGTATCTTGAAGTCTTACAATAGTATACTTTGGCTTGGGTTTAGTTTTATCAGTTATGGAATCCCAAGCAGATGGAATACTCTACTACTCTATTCTCTATTAAAATTATAGATTTTTTTTAATAATTTCAATAACAATTTCAGTATCAAGATTCTTTAGTGATGATTTGTGATCAATATGTCTAAAATAATGGTTGCGACGATTTTTTACATGTTGCAATACTGCAAATTTTCTATGAGATACCTCATTTCCCTGTGATAGTCATAGGGAAATGAGGGACTTTAAAGTACTCGAGACGTCGGGAATGAAAAATTTAAGAGTAAACGCGATTAAATCTGTAAAATTGGTTTAATTTGTCGAACTGGTTTGTTTTACGCCGCAAACACACATCTAAGTTTAAGATAAGTAATGGTACAGAATTTACTTTTCAATAATTAGCCATCCAAGATATCGTGCAGCACTCTACAAGAAGTTCCCCTCACTGACCTTGTGAGCCATCGCCTGATGAGGTAGCCTCAGTTGCGTCATGCGCTACTGCGGTGACGGACGAGAAAGCAGCGGCGTGAACTGTAGTAATTACATTGAGATTTTAAACGACAAACCTTGACACTGCTCATTTTGTGTGTATGAAAGATTTTATTGTAACGACTCTGGCTTTGTAAATCGGACTGGAAATAAATTGTTTATTCAAATGCAAGTGGTTGGAGACCGCCAAAAGTTATTTTATTTTTTGACCTTTATTTATGAACTATTCTGTTTTAGATAATAAGTGGCCTTTCAAGCCTCAAAGACTTTTTTTGATATCCACTCAAATACTTATGTAGTATTATAGTTTGGGAATTGTAATTTTAACTTAACTCATCAAGGCTATGGAAGTCAACTGCTAAACTTAATATGCCTCCCCCATAGCTTACCTTATAAAGGTGATTTATTCAATTATTAGTTTAGATTTAGTTATGTTACTTATCATTACTTAATTAAACGTCTTATGTTTTATGACAAATAAAAAAATTGTGCGTGTCTGGTCCGACGCGTCACAGGAGTTTACTCCTGAAAAACGATTGTCATAAAATATATAAAATAATATGAGAAATAAGTTAATGAACCCATATATTAATTGATATTGATTTCATAAATTATATAACCTATACTGGATAATTTTTTGTCCGTCTGGAAAAAAAGGATGTAACATGTGAACGGAGTACAGACCTATGGCACTGATATTTTACAAAAAATGAAAACAAAAATTTTTTTATTATAGAAATTAATTAAAATCTATAAAAATTTAAATCTTACCCATCCTACTTTACGAACGGCAAGAAAACAATAAATTTTGTAGGCAAAATTGACCTTGTCACTTCGCAAAGTCACAGACTTAGGTGGATATGCTTTGAATTTCTATAGATTTTAATTAATTAATTTATTTAATTCAAAAATTTTGTTATTATTTTTATAAAATATCAGTGTCATAGGCTTCTACTCCGTTCACATGTTACGCCCTATTTTTTACAGACGATAAAAAAGGTCATCCAGTATAATATATAAATTGCCGTGGTAGTTCAGACGGTTAGCGCTTGCTGTAAATTACACAATTCGCGAGCAACCCGGGTTTGATCCCTGCCGGCACTAACGAAATTGATAATTGAAATTTTAAGTGCCAAGTTACCACATGCTCGGCGGTAAAGGAAAACTTCGTGAGGAAACTTACATGTCCGCGAAATCTGAAATCCTTCCCTTAAACCCTTGAAATGAGAGGAGGCCTGTGCCCAACAGTGGGACGAATATATGCTGTAATTTTAACATATACGACTTATATTATATTATTAATTTCGTGAATAGTAACGTCATTATTTAATATTGTTTAAAACTCCACAAATTGACGTTTGATATTGCACATATTGTACTGAATACTACATAGTGACATACACTCAATCATGAGTGTATGTCACATTCGGAACATTTATTTAGCCTACAAACTTTTAGCTGCCTTGAAATCAACACCGAATCTGCTTATAAGTCATGATTGGGATGGTCTGCTTTTTGAGTTCGTCAAGTAAAGATAGGACGGGCAACTGTATCTTCTCGACGTTTTGGGTATTTTTATCGTCAGTTCATCCTCCCAGCATCCACCAATTTCTTCATTAGCGCTTATTGTACTTTCCTCTACCATGTATTCTACTCGAGGAATGTAGAGGATTTGCTCTTTCTGTCTGTTTCTGTCTTTTTTTTAAGTTATTTATGTTTTTTAATTTTAATTTCTATTATGAATAAATAAAAAGAAATTTTGTAATTTTTTGTTCTTTTATTAAGCGTTGGGATAGGCAACCAAAAAATAACTCAAATAAAAACAAAAAAAAAACCACGTTCAAATTTTCCCGCCACACGAGAAAGTGCAGGTGGACTATAGATGGAGTTATATCACATTTATTATATCGTTCTTCTCCATTAGGAGTAATAGTGTTCTGTGGTCCTCTCCGATCAACACGCATGTGAAGTGCCCGCGGTTCTGAAAGAACCTATCAGACATACGGCGTGCTTGTTCTTGGTTAAGTGAATATTGTATATTTTTGTTGTTAAATTTTTTACCGTGAAGTATTAATAAAAATCGATTATCATCTATACACAGTAAAATTGTCCAAAAAATAAGAGATGCTGACATAAGATGAGTTTTAGAAGAAGGAGATGTGGAAGATGTCGTGATATTTGCGGAAAGCCTCGTTCGTTTTCAATAAATGCAAAAATTGTTAAAATTTTGAACACAAATGATAAACCATCGACCAGAAGAGAATTTCTAAAAAGCTTTATCCATGGAATTGAAAGCTTAACGTCAAGCTGTTAGAAAAGATAATTTGCGTGTTCTAGTAAGACTTAGCAAAGAATCGGAACTCACCTCGGGGAGCCATCAGGCCTTCCCTCAAGAAAACCTTGCGCCTATGTCAAAAGACGTTGTTATTTGTAGCCGGTTAAAACAGATCGCAAATCGAAACACATTTGTATTTTGTGTTCGAGTTACATCTCCATGGAGCACGCAAACTTTATCTCTCTCTTAACTAAGCAATGAATAATTTTTGTTAGCAAGCGTTGCTTTTTATTATTATCCTATTTAAATATAGCGAATTTATCAGTGTCTTTAATAAACCAAAGTCCGATATTGAACTATATTTATAATATAAAATTTTGATTAAATACTAACGAGACTATTTTTCGTTCGGTTGAAAAAGCAAGATTTTCATTTCATTAATAAATAATTTTAAAACATTAATAGCTGTACTTTTTATTTATCTCATACGATAAATAAATATTTACTGAACAAAGATTCATATCATTCCTAATTTTAAAATAATATTAAAGAGATATTTTTCTTTAAAAATTAGCATTAAAACATAGACAGTAGTTTCCCTGTATAGTCAATCGTAAGTGTATGTCACATACGGGACGTTTAGTTAGCTTTCAACCTTTTAGCTGCATTAAAATCAACACTGAATCTGCTTACATGATTGGGATGATCTGCTTTTGAGTTCGTCAAGTTAAAGATAGGACGGGTAACGATATCTGCTCATCATTTTTTGTGTTTTGGACGTCAGTTCACCCTCTCAGCATCCATCAATTTATTAGCGCTTATAGTATTTTCCTCGACCATTTATTCTACTCGAGTATATATAGATATATATATATATATATATATATATATATATATATATATATATATATATATATATATGTGTGTGTGTGTGTGTGTGTGTGTGTGTGTGTGTGTGTGTGTGTGTGTGTGTGTGTGTTAAGGGAATCCACTATCCCATATCATCCCGTGGGTGTAGCGAGAGCCGACAGAGTAAAACTGAATCATGAAATTTTAAAATTTTAATTGAAAGTTGAGGAATAACACAAGCTCAAGGTTACATACTCGAATGTCGTCTAAATTGTTATAAATTTTATTTTCTAATTTACCACGCTGAGTTTGAAAACTTATCCAAATTTTAATGTGATGACCCCGACAGAAGTATATAGTATTTGTTAAAGCAACTCCATTGACGAAATTATTACGTAAAATACATACAAATTAACACATAGTCGAAATTGAGAAAATCTTCCAGTTTGAAGTTGGCAAGAATTTGCGTGATGGATTCTCTTAGTCCAATTTATACTGATGATTTGTTTTATTAAAAAATATTTATATTATAACGATTTCGCCAGCCCTTTTGGGGAATAGTGGGTTAGGTACAGCCATGCTACAGTTATATTAGAGTCGTATCACGAATGGGTCGGATGGACCGGTGAAGTACCTCGCACTCACAGTATACCAGCGTGAAACAACGGATTAATTCTCCTATGTTTTGAACCGGAAATCTTTTCTGCTGGATACAAGTAATTCCTTCTTAGGCGTCAGGGGTGACCACACATCCGCATTTTAATTCTTAATCGAGGATAGATGTAGATGTCTATGAGCCACAAGTCCATTTACATACCACCTATTTTGTCACTCTTGTTCTATAACAAAATTTATTTTGATAGTGTAATTTCTCCCACCAAGAAAAGATTAGTGAAGAAAAGTAGACGAAAACATTTTAAATAGTTCCATCTTTTATAGCATAGAGTGACAAACGAGCACACAGTCCACTTGATGGTAAATGGTTGTTGTGGCCCATAGACATCTACATCTATCCTTGATTACGAATCAAAATGCAGATGCGTTGTCATCCGTGAGAACTAAGGTGGAATGCCTCGTTTCCAGTAAAAAGGGTTCTCTACACTCACCATACGAAACACAGCAGCATTAAGCTACAATTTTACACTGGTATTATGTGAGAGCGTGGTCCTTCCCCGGTCGAGCCGACCCATTCGTGCTACAACTATACTACTAATATAACTGCCGCATGGCTCTACCACGTATAGCACTTTTCCCACTAACTTTCCCCACTGGTATATAATACACAATAATTCACTACATAGAATTAATTTAAATACTCAGATATATCTACTATTTTTGCTGTCAGTTGTTTCAATGTAATAAAATACCCAATCTTGTCTAAATAAATTTTATATTAAGAAAGCACAAGACGTATTATTTATATTTGTGGAATGAAATAAGCAGTCAAAATTGAACCTAAGATTTTTTCATACTAATATTTGCTTAGGATTTTATCAATCTTTTAACCCCTAGAGATGTAGTTACAGTATAACGTAATGTTTCACTAATGTTAAAATAATATTCCTGAAACAATTTTAAGTCAAGTAAAAAAGGTGTACATTAATATTCGCATTTAATAAAATGCTGGCGTTAATAGCGAGAATTTTAATAAAAACAATACATATTTCACATAAGAGCTTCTGAAGTCGGTGCTTAAACGTATTTTATCAGTTCAGTCGTTTCAAAATAATAAACAAACATACATTAATATTTGTGAAATGAAATAAGCAGTCAAAGTTGAACCGAATATTTTATCATACTAATATTTATTTAGGATTTTATCAATCTTTCAACCCCAAGAGATG